CTCACTTAGCATCTGTGTGTGTTAACCATTTGATTCACTGAAGGACTATGTGAGTTTTCTATACCAGCCTTGTTATTGTGATAACAGAAGAACTGTTGTTTCTGTTATGAACCATAGAGCCAGAACTGACTCAGGGCTGATCTTCTAGCAGGTTTTCAGATGTTGTAATTTGCACAGGAGGAGAGTGTCTTTCTTTCTCACAGAAAGCAGCTTGTGAATTCGAACTGTGTGCCTTTGGGTTGATAGTGCAGTGCATTACCACCAGGTTATTCTCCTAAAGAAGAATCAGAGGAAATACTAGAACAGGGTTTGCTAGTCTTGTTACCCTGTCCTGTTTCTTTACTAATTTGAACAGCTGAGTGTAGCTCCTAGGCACTTTGTCTCTCAACTAGGCCTCTTTGCAGCTTGCCAGCTGTTGGCAACCTGCCACTGGTGCAGGAGAGAGGGGACACTGCCTGGAGCTCCCACCTCCCTTCCATCTATGAGACATGGCCTTTAAAATACAGTCCTCCTTTTCCAGAAGGGAGCTTCAAACTTCTAGTTTGATCACAGTTCCCCTCTCCCTTCCTCCCTGCCAGCTTGTCTAAGACAAAGCAGAAGAGATTCAAGGCGATGGCTGGGTGCTCACTGTTCTCCTCCTTTATCCAGCTTGAGCTCAGTAATTCAGATCTCTCCAGATTCCTCACTCTGCCCAAATCAGAACAGAATTTGATACTTCTCCAAGTAGAGATCATTACCTGTTCCCTCCTCAGTGCTATCCATAATGATCTAAAATAGTGCAAAGTTTGCTGTGACATGCTCACATTTTCTCAGCCCTGGACTGCCAGTCAGCCTGAGTGTTTGGCTATAAGAGAATTTATATTGTAAAACATAAAATTTTGGAAGGCAAGATCCTGGATAGTGCTTGTGATGGTTAATGTTATGTCAGCTTGGCTTGGGATTTTCAGTTGTTTGGCCAGACACTAGTCTAATTGCTAATACTTATGATGTTCTTCTCCATGGACTGATCCCTCCTGACAGCATACTCAAAGTACGTCACATGGAGCTTCAAAATCCTTACCTCCAAGGATCAGCTTGATTTCATCTTCTCCAGAACAGACCTGTTTGTCCTCTTTGTAGTCCATGATATGTTCAATAATCTTCTCCAGCACCACAACTCAAATGCATTGATTCTTCTATCATCCTTACTCACTGTCCAGCTCTCTAATAATAGTAAGCAGATTTTCCTAATGCAATTTGGCTTTTTATTTTCTTACTGCTGATACCAAGAGTGTTGACTGTAGAGCTAAGCAAGCTGAAGCTGTTAATAATGTCAGTCTCTTCACTATCTATCATGATGCTGCAAGTTGGCCCAGTGGTGAGAATCTTTGATTTCTTGATGTTGAGCTTCAGTCCATATGGAAGGCTGTAGCCCTTCTTTGACCTTCAAATATGTCATGCCCTCCTCAGTTTCAGCAAGCAAGGCTGTGTCACTTGAACAACGCAGTTTGTTAATGAGTTTTCCTCCAACCCTGATGCCACACTCCTCCTCTTAATGTCCAGCCTCCCAATTGATCTGTTCCACATATACATTGAAAAGGTATGGAGATAATGTAATAAAATTATTTCTCATCTACTGTCATGCCTTGCCTTTGGAAACTCTATGAACAGTGCTCAGGTATTTCATTAATAGGGTCTCTATGAGTCGTCTGTGACTTGACGGCACTTAGCGATAACAACAACATAGAAAGAGCTATGTTGGCCTAGTGGACAAAAAGTTATGCCACCAAGCCCAAGGTGGGTGATTTTAATCTGTGGCACTCAGGTCTGGTTTAAATTGGTTTTGGTCAAACATTCTTCTACATGGTATAGCACTGGCCTATGCACTGCTGTACAGAGGTAACTTGTGATTGCTGTGATGCTAAACACTGTGACACTGATGTGCCAAATGCGATAATGATTACCCATGGTGGACAGTGTTTGGTGGAGTTTCCCGATTAAAACAAGCTTGGCTCATGCAATATTATTCAAAATGGTTGACTCTGGAGAACATTATGCTGAGTGAAATATCCCAGTCACAAAAGGACAAATATTACATGATGCCACTGTTGTAGAATGGGACTAACCTCAGGGTTGGGGAGAGACTGAGTAAGATGGGTTCAATAATGTATACTGCACTAAAACAGAGGAGGGAGAAAACTGTGTAAAAGAGATATGTGACTAAGTATTTCTGTCATCACAGGAGTCTAGAGCGAGGGCTACACGGTGGAGGGGACCTGGGGGAGGGTTTGTAAAACAATGAAAGAATCTTTTCTTTTACTTTTCCATAATTTTTGACTCATGTACTTATAACTTGTTAGTTAAATTTGTGTCTTCTAGGTTGCAACACCCCCATGATACATCTTCAGGGATATGAACATGTATGGCTAAGCACAATTAATAACAGTGCATCTAAATTCCAAAATCAATCTCCATAATAGTCTATGTGTTTCCTACTGCCAAAGGGGCCCTTTAGAGTAGTGAGAGAAGATCTTCACCCTGAAACCCACAGCATCCCTTTTCAGCAGGAAGTAGCTAAGAGAATACGCCATCCCCTTTTCCTTATGAATCAAGGGTGAAGTCTCTCTCAGGGAGGAGTGATAGGGAATGGCAAAGGACACACTGACAAAGAAGATTAATCAGAACTGGCTTTGACAAGCACTGTGGCAATTGGACAATTAAAACAGACTTTCGGATGGCGGGGAAGAAGAACAAACTGGGGAGGAGGGTAGAGAGAATGGTGCAGCAATGAAGGCATGAAAACCCAAAATCCCTGTAAATGTTCATTAAAACTAATAAAATTTAATAAAATTCAGAAAAAAAAACCCAAGCTTGGAAACAGACATCCACTTCCAAAATGGCTTGCCTTTGGAAACAACAACAACAACACTGTCATGTATGGTGATCATCTTCTCTTTGTAATTGATCAGTTGAGCTCATTCCATAGTATGATGATTGTTATGTTATGATGATTGAAGGATTTAACAAAAGTCTGTTTGTTCATTCTTTTTAAGAACTTATTTTTTTATATAATTCACTCTTTTATAATCATTCATACATATTGTTTCTTTCATGTACACTTTGTTTTACACAATCACTTCTGTACATTGTGTTTTATATAGTTAACTATTCTTGAGCTGTTACTTTTACCTCCCCATTTCCTCAAGTGCCCATTGCACCCTATCTATTTCTTCAGCCTGTCATGCTCACTCTTTTAGGAGAGTTCTAGAGGCCTAGTGAATGAGGAGTTGTGCTGCCAGCCCAATGGCAGACAGTTTGAATTCATGAACTGACCCATGGGAGAAAGATAGACAATCTCCTCCCGTGCAGTTTACAGCTTCTGACAACCCACTGGAGCATCAGCTTTGAGTTGGTTCTGACTTGACGGCAATGAATAGTTTTTGTTTATTTGCTCTTTAAACAAGAATTCATTTAGTCTGTTGTGTATCAGACACCATGCCAGCCCCTAGTAATAAAATGATCCAAAACTAAATCAGAAATAAAGTCTCTCAACTTCTCTACTTTCAAGAAACTATGACCTGAAAGAAGCACATTTTTAAAGGCGAAAAAAAATTTGAGAAAAGAATTAATTCTCTGTAATGGATATTCAGGAAGTTCTGGTGCCATAGTACATAGGGAGTTGTTCTGGTAACCCAAAGGCTAAGCCACACTCACAGTTCAAGCCCACCAGTGGTTCCATGGGAGAAAGATAGGCATTCTCCTCCTGTGTGATTTACAGCCTTGGAAACCCACTACAGGGTCAGTTGTGAGTTGCTTCTAAATTGACAGCAATGAGTGGAGTGGCAAGAGGTTTGTTTATAAAGAGGTACATGGGGCACATCACAGAGCATGCTGTTGGGCAGAGAGAGGGACTGGCATAGAAGACTTCAACATAGCAATTGGGCTTGGTTCTTACAAGTGAACATTGAAAATCAAAAAGCATTAGAAAACAATTTGAATTTACATAACAGGAATTCAGGTTTTATAGGAATTTGTATTCACATTGAGCCTGAGGAAGTTGATTGAGAATTATATTATGATCAGACTTTACATCATGTTGATGAACCTGGATAATATTCTGTTGGCAGTGAAAAACCAGACATTAACCCCTTTTCCTCTAAGAAAAGAGGGTAAGTGGTAAGGAAAATACAGATACAGATACAGATGAGTTTGAATTTAGAGGACTTGCTGAGATTAAGGACCTCTGATCTTGGTGGCTTTCAATTTTTCAGTAACATAAAAGGCTGAGACATTGGCTAAAAGAGTGCTGACAAGAAATTTGAAATGGTAAATATATGGAACGAGCACTCCACCATACAAAAGGTTCTGGTGGCCTAGTGGTAAGATGCTGTGCTGCAATCCCAGAGGCATGTGGTTCAAATCCACCAGCTTCTGTGCAGCAGAAGGATGGGCAGTCTCTTCTTATTGATTAACTGAAAACCTGCTTGAAGGTCAGCTATGGGTCAGTTCCAACTGAACAACACACCACAACAATGACTCTAGCACACAGAAAAGGGAACTGCCAACAGATGAATAAATACATTTCTGACCCACAAGGGTCTCCTCGCTTCATATCAAGACATTTATATTAGTTCTGCCTTTATGTTAGACAGTTGTCACTTAAACTAGCTTTCACAAAGGGCACAAATAGAATTGAAGGAGATAAGGAAGCCATCCTCTTCTTATTATGATTTGGAATGTAGTGTTTAGGATGTGGGTTCTCAGGTCAAGCAGATCTGGTGCCAAAACCTTAATGCATGTGATATTTGGCATGGTTCTCCTTTTTCTGTAGATCAATCTCCACATTATTTAAAGTAGATATCATAAAAATGACTTTGCAGGATCACTTCATAGTGATTTAATGTGCTTTGCTAGGCAAAGCATCTACTCTAGGGCCTGTTAACATTACTGGCTTCAAAAACCTGTAGGTGCTATAGTTTTAAATTGCTGTTACTGTTGTGTTTTATCCATTCTCCTTGAAGGGCATGCTGTTCTCCTCAGTGGAATGTGTTAAATCCACACAGGACCTAGTAAAGTTCTACCTACATGAATCGAATCGAGTTTATCGGGATAAAATGGTAGAAGAGAAGGACTTTGACCTTTTTGATAAAATTCAGACAGAAGTGGTGAAGAAGATTTTTGATGTGAGTATTGCACTAAGATTTTTTTCTTACAGTTAAAAAAGAATTATTATTATTATTATACAACTGATGGTCAAAATTGTAAAAATATCAAAATTAGGTTAAAAATTAAAATTTGTCATCATATCTCAGATGAAAAAATATTGGCATGAAGAATTAAAAAAACAAAAAGCAAGCTCACTGCCAGTCAATTCATAGTCTTCTTGTTCTTTCATGGGGTTTCTGAGGCAGTGCATTTTAATGAGAGGAAACTGCCCATCAGCCTCTCATGGAGCTTCTGGTGCCTCAAACCATATGAAACCATTTGGTAACAGGGCAGCATCTATGAACCATGCCACTAGCCTTCCTCAGGACAAGAAGATGAATGAAGTAGTGATGGAATCTTGCAACTGAAAAGGTCCAGAGATTTTTTCACCAAGCAAATAAATCACTTTTCCATTTAACACGTTGTCGCAAAAGATGGCAAAAATGTGTTTCTAAGCACGGTTGTCAATTTAAAAGGGTGAGGCAATGTGTTAACAAGCCTTACACTTTGTTCTACGTCACTTATTAAGATTCCAATATTATGACAGCACCCCTCTCACTTCCTCTCTGTGTCCCATGTCCATTCTTCCTTCTTTGCTGACCCTTCCTGTCTTCTGAGTTTCATGCCTGGGGAGATGCTGGCCTTTTGATCAAAGATATTTTTTTTCACTTGAATAACATTTAAGAATCTAAAAAATCTACCTTTGAGGTTCAGATTTTATTTATTGAACACTTTTTTAACTTTTAATTTGATGGGCCATCATTTACATAATTTTATTATAAGATTGTAATGTAGACATTTTAAAAATAATGTTTAAATTGTTAACAAATAAGAAAAAAATGTCCATAGAGAGCATTTGATCCAAATCCCCAGCCAATCCAGTGTCCACTCAGTAGCATCGTCCCGATTCTTCATCTCAGAATGTGCTCCAGTGTCTGTGAGGATGCACAGCCAATCCAAGCAATCCTTCTGGAAGAGTCCAATTTGGAACAATTTTAAATCTCTGTCCACTGAATCCGAGGTCTGTATGACCTTTTACATGTTTTATTTATTCATCTTTTTATTTCTGAGTCTTCTTTTCTCCTGGCTAACAATCCTTGGTCCTTTTGGCCAGTTTTGACACAGCATGACTTTAATCCCAATTATCATCTGCTCATTCTCCCGTCAGTGTCCCTCTCTGATACTGTGAGGCCCAAACTTCATTAGAATTCTCTGAAGTTTTCTCATATACCACTACCCACGCATTCAATGCTGTTGTCTCAGTATTGATTCCTAGCTGACCCTCCATTGGGTTTCCAAGGAGATATTACCCATCTTATTCTCAATGTACACTATGATGTTTTCCAAAGTATGTCCTACTGAACACTTTAATGCTGGAAAGAAAGGCTATATGGTTATTAAGTTGAAAAAGTGTTTCATACTGTACCCTCTCTTGGATATTCACAGCACATTTAACATGATAAAGTCCTGAAAATCTTGAAACACTCCAATGAACATATAACTTTACAAATATATTGGACCTGAAAATTCTTTTCGCTCCGTAAAATCTATTGTTGTTGATTGCCATCAAGTCAAGCCTGACTTATAGAGACCCTGAACAAAAGGCCTGAAGTCCTCTATAACTATTGTCATTTATCAAAGTTCATAGAGTTTCCAGAAGCATGAATTGCAGAACAACTGATTCATGGACTATGCTTAGAGAATGTTGTAAATTGTATTGGGGGAGATTGCCCAAACATTGATATGTTGTTGTTGTTGTTGTTATGTGCCATCGCGTTGCTTGTGACTCAAAGCGACACTATGCACAACAGCTCTAAACTCTGCTCTGTCCTGTGCCAGTCTCATTGTCTTCGACACACTCATCCCGATTGCCCCAGTCACCGAATCAATCCACCTCCCGGAGGGCCTTCCCCTCCTGTGCCTGCCCTCCAACCTCCCAAGCATGATGTCCTTCTCCAAAGACCAGTTACTCCTTACAACATGACCAAAGTATGTCAGACGAAGCCTCAGAATCCTGGCCTCCAAAGAGCAGCTGGTTTAACCCTCTCCAGGATGAATCTGTTTTCTTAGCAGTCCATGGTACCCTCAACACTCTTCTCCAACACCAAAGCTCAAAAGCATCAATTCTCCTTCTCTCCTCCCTGGTCATTGTCCAGTTCTGTGATGCATAACAAGTGATTGCAAAGACCATAGACTGTACCAGATACACCTTAGTCTCCAGAGACATACCATTGCTTTTCAGTACTTTAGAGAGGTCCCTAACAGCAGACTTTCCCATCACAATACATCTTTTAATTTCCTGGCTGCCAGTGCCAAGAGTGTTGATTTTGGATCCAAGCAAACTAAAGCTGTGAGCAATCTCTATCTCTTCACCATCCATCCTGATGCTATATTAGTAATTTCAAATTGTATGTATTATCACAATTGCATCATAAGTTACTATGCGTTGGCCAAAGCCCCTCTTTTTTTCTAATGAGACTCCAAGTCTGAGGATATTTGCAGTCCCTCCTAGACTATATGACTCCCTTTTCAGACGTGTGTGTAAGTGACATTTTAAGTAACTTATTTCAGTCTGCAGTCAATAATAAGGTCAAATATCCAAAATTTTTCTACTTCTCTAAATCACTTTTATCTGGCCTGGTATTTAGTCCCCTTGCATCTTAGATGTCCCTCAGTAAGCCTGGAAGAGTTTACTAATCTATGTCTTCATCGTCAGTTCTGCAAATGAGTATTGATTATCTTCCTCAGAGCTGGCACTTCAGTTCAGTCTTTGAGACAGAGGTTTTTATATGGGTCTGTGTACTAAAAACACATCCTTTTGATCACAGACTAAGATAAAATTAATACCGCCGTTATCCTTCCCCCAAAACCTTTGAAATGTCAGCCCGAAGCACCCTTGAATACATCAAATCTTGGTATTGATATCAAGGAAAAGTGACACAAAGACTCTTAAAATCTTGTCTTCACCATCAAAAGCTTCAATTTCTCTGATTCATGGCCCATGTGTGGCATATAGCATCATCATTAATGAATCTTTGATTCACTGAACTCATGAAGGTTTTTTCCTGTTCCTTCTGCACAGCATGGCTCTGATCATAAAATCAGACTTATTTTGTTCATCAAGGAGTTTATTTGAAGACCAGGATTTTCATCGCTCTGCTTTACTTGCCCATTTTCAAACCAGAGAAATGCACTTGTTCCCATATGACTCACCCCACAACTCCCTACTTGCCTTTAAGTTCATTTCAGCACAGGCTGGTCCCAGGCACAACTGAATAGAGCTATGTCCCGTCGGTTTCCAGTGGCCGTGAGCTTCAAAAGTGCTTCACCAGGATTTTGTCCTTTGGCATCTCTGGGTGAACTCACACTTGCAGCCTAAAAGTAAGCAGCTCAGCACAGATATGAAGAGCTTGCCAGACATAAAGCGCATAACAGAGTGTGGGCTGCTAACCCAAAAGTCTGTGTCCTAGTGAGTAAGAAGTTGTGTGGCCAACCCAAAGGCAGGCAGTTCAAATCCACCAGCTGATCTCAGGAAGAAGAGGGCCAGTGTCCCCTTGTGCAGCTGAAAACTGAGTGGATGGTCAGCTAACTATGAGTCGGTTTTGACTTGATGACAATGAGATGCCTTTTTGTTGAGTGGTTTGAATCCACCAGCCACGCCTAAAGAACAGGGTGGGCAAAGAGTTACAGCCCTGGAAACCTGCTGGAGGGCTGTGTGAGGAGGAATAACCCTTCAGCCGTGAGTGAATCTTATCCACATATTCTGTCCTTACATAACAACTCTTTAACCGTCTCATAACCAGGCAGCAGTCCTGGTCTCTATAGATGTGTTTTCATCCTCACTTTCACTCCATTAAGTTGGATGAGTCTTATCCCACAGGCTTACAGGGATAATCCTACAATGACTCGTGCCCTGGTCATGGTCCCTGCTGGTGAAATAGCATGTGGTTCATTCTTGCCCTGCAGCTTTTAGCCTGAGCTTCTGGGGAAAGAATAGCGCATGCTGGTATAACTTTCTACCTGTGCCTTAGAAAAATCTGTTCTTTTTTAAAAGATTTATATCCTCTATAATGTTTTTTTGCCAGGCAATTCTGGTGGCCTAGTGGCAAGAAGCTGTTCTGCAATCCAAAGGCATTTGGTTTGAGGCCACCAGCTGCTCCACAGGAGAAGACAATCTCCTCCCGTGAGATTACTGCCTCTGAAAAACCCTCTGGAGGGTCAGCCATGGGTTGCTTCTGACTCCATGGTACACAACAACAACAACAACATAATCTTTTTCCCATCCCTCAGATATCTGGGTTCTTAACAAATACATAGTTCTTTTCTGTCTAACAAGAATTTTTTTTTAATTTAGTTTGTTTATTTTTCATTTCAATGAACATCTACAGAGATTTTGGAATTCCATTCATTCATTGTTGTACCCTTCCTAACAAGAAATTTAACAATTGGCTACCTCCTCAATACTTGGAGGCTAAATTGGTAAAGAGGCAGAGTCTGTTTAAGTTCTGTGTTATAACCTCCTGGCCAATCAGTTGTCAGTGTGATCCTGACGCCCTGTGCGTGGAACTGTAGGGTTTTCAGTGGCTGTTTTTTTGCAAGTGGATCACCAGGACTTTTCCCTAAAATGCTTATGGCTGAATTTAACAACCTCCCATTTAGGGAGCTCTAGTGGTCTAGTGGCAAGAAGCTGTGCTTCAATCCTGAAGGCATGCGGTTCAAGGGCACCAGCTGCTCCGTGGGGAAGGATGGGCAATCTCCTCCCGTGCAATTAACTGCCTCTGAACACCCTCTGGAGGGTCAGCTATGGGTTGGTTCTGACTCTGTGGTACTCAACAACACACAACAACAACCTCCCATTTAGTAGCTAAGTATATTAACTATTTGTATACCCAGGGATTTCAAGTGTGTATCCAAAACCAAATTCATTGCCTTCAGTTGGTACCACTCAGAGCAAGTTCCCAGGGAGTTTTTAAGATGATAAATTCTAATGAGATGAGAATGCCCATCTTTCTTCCCAGAGCCACAGATGGATTCAAACTGATGGAAATGTGCACCATGTAACTGCCTACAACCCAAGAGTTCCCTTACTTGTGTCACACTAGATATTTATTTTGACACTTAATAATCCCAAATCTATATGAAAGATTTACAAATAAAGGTCTGTACTCTGAGTATTTTGTTTAGCTGTGTTCTCATTGGAAAAACAAAATAGCCAAGACCTCTGCAGTTAGTCCATGATGCTAGGACTAATATATTTGTTTACCCACTTCATGATGTTACAGAGGATGTTTGAAATGATGGTGAAATTAAAAAGAGCTTACCTGTGAGTGGAAGGGGATACATGCGTGCATCCTTCTAAACAGAAGATCCCAGTGTTGCTGAGCTCCCCATATTCATTTCTGAAACAAGACATACATTACAAAATGAACTGGGGAAGGAGGAGGGAGGAAAATATGTATCAATGAATGAGTTATAACCTGTGCTTTCTATAAACTTTCACTAAAATTATTAACATTGAAAATATTAGCATAAATTAAAAAGAAAACAAAAACACTAATGTGTTTAGTCATATACAATGACTAAAAAAATTAATCCCACCAGAGCTCCCTAATGAAACATATGGGGAGGGGCAAGAAATTAGAGGTAGGAACTTAGCAGGATGTTGTGATACTGCTCTGGACTGCAATACAAGACTTGCTGAAGTGAATGCGGGGGAGCTGAGACATGGTCCCCTTCACCCAGTACCAGTGTCTTCTGCTTAGGAGGACGCACCCAGGCATCCCCATCCACTCCTCCACTCAGAGATGAGCTCTTTTTAATTCCACCAGCATTCCAAACATCCTCTGTAACATCATGAAGTGGGGAAAGGTTAAACATTAGAAGGAAGCAACTGTTGGAGGCAACATTGCTCCTTCAGTTTCAGGGGGATGCAGAGAGCAAGAGAAAATCAGGTGTCGGCTCTATATGGACTGTCCTTTTCTTGGCAGGACATCGAAGGGTCTGTGGAGCAGACCCAAAACCTGAACATGTACTGCCACTTTGCAAATGGGATCGGCGACCCCAAGTACATGCCCGTGCCGTCATGGGAACTTCTGAGCCAGACCCTGGTGGAAGCCTTGGAGAACCACAACGAAGTCAATACCGTGATGGACCTGGTTCTCTTTGAGGACGCTATGTGCCACGTGTGAGTGAACTTGTCTCTTTTTTTTCTTCTTCCTAACTTCAGGGGCTACGTCAGATATTTAAGATATTTATAGACCTTTTCATAAAGTCAGGCCACGATTGTTATTTTGGACATTAGGGACATTTTGGACAGAGCTGGATTTATTTCCATTTCTGCCATTTACTACCTCTGGGGAGGTGGAAAAAGTCCAACACTCAACTAGTATCTAGTATTGACCAGTAACTAGTTCAGCTGCCAACTCAGCCTGATTGGTGGTTCAGAAACACCCAGAGAGGTTCCTCCGAAGAAAACCTTGGTGATACCAGAGCCATTGAAAACTTAGAAGCACGGTTCTGCTCTGAGGTCCATGGGATTGCTGTGAACATTCACATACAAATACCTGTTTGCTTTCCTGCTCTTGGGTCTTCTGAGTACATACCCAGCAGTGAATTGCTGGATTATACGATAATTCTATGTTTAACTTTTGTAAGAACTTGCAACTTGTTTTCTTCAGTGGCTGAACTGTATGGTTCCATCATGAACACACAAGTGTTAATGTTCTCGACATCCTTGCCAACACTTTTTTCTCTTTCCGTTTTTTATAGCCATCCTAGTAGTTTAAAGAGGTATCTCATTGTGATAGAAAGTGTTTTTTTAAATGAAATATAATTTTAAGAAATATAATTCCATAATGCTCCGCAGTCTCTCCCAAGCCAGGTAATAATATACAAAATCATTGCTCCTGTGTGCCAGCTAGTATTCCATTGTATGATTATACCATAATTTCTCAATCCGTTCAACTGTGGTTGGGCATTTAGGCTATTTCCATGTTCTTGTGATGGTGAATAATGCTGCTATGAACATTAGTGTACAAGTCTCCATTTGTGCTTCAGCTCTCATTTTCTTGGAGTATATTCCAAGCAGTGGAATAGTTGGATCATATGGAATTTCTTTGTTCAGCTTTTTTGAGAAAATGCCAAATTGTTTCCAAAGTGGTTATGCCATTTTACAATCTCACCAACAGGGAGAAGAGTTCCTATCTCACCATATCCTCTCCAACATTTATTGCTTACTGCCCTGCTAAACTTTGCTACTGCTACTGGGGTGATAAAAATGATATGTCATTGTAATTTTGTTTTGCATCTCTCTTATTGCTAGTGTTAGATTTTGGTTTTTTGGTTGGTTTTGTTTGTTTGTTTGTTTTGGGGTTTTTTTAGCATTTCTTCATGTGTCTGTTTGCCATTTGAATATCTTCCTCTGTGACAATTCTTTCCATGTCTTTTGCCCATTTTGTAATTGGATTATCAGTCTTTTTCTTGTGGAGGCCCTGTAGGATTCTGTACACTTTCATGATAAGACCCTTGTCTGAGATGGTACTGCCACATGTTTTTCCCAATTAGTAGGGTGGTTTTGTGGGGTTTTCCCCCACCCTGGTGGAAAAAGTTTTTGATGTACACAGAGATTTAATCTTTAGAAAGTCTCATCCATTCATCATGGGAAAGTCTGCTGTTAGGGACCTCTCCAAAGTGCTGAAGAGCAGTGGTGTGTCTCTGGAGACTAAGGTGTGTCTGATACAGGCCATGGTCTTCGCAATCACCTGTTATGCATCAGAGAGTTGGACAATGACCAAGGAGGATAGAAGGAGAACTGATGCCTTTGAGCTGTGGTGCTGGAGAAGAGTATTGAGAATACCATGGACTGCTAGGAAAACAAATAGATTTGTCCTGGAGAGGGTTAAACCGGGTGGCTCCTTGGAGGCAAGGATTCTGAGGCTCCGTCTAACTTACTTTGGACATGTAGTGAGGAGAGACCAGTCCTTAGAGAGGGACATCATGCTTGGGAGGGTGGAGGGACGGCGCAGGAGAGGAAGGCCCTTTATGAGGTGGATTGATTCAGTGACTGGGATAATTGGGATGGGAGTGTCAGAGACAGTGCGATTGGCACAGGACAGAGCGGAGTTTAGGGCTGTTGTACATAGGGTCGCTATGAGTCGCAGGCGACTCGACAGCACATAACAACAACAACAACATCCATTCATCAATTTTATCCTCTCCTATTTGTATACTTCTGGCTGTATTTGTCAGCCTGCTTATACCGTGGGCTAGGCCTTCTCCCCCTCCCCTTCTTATTTCTTTAAATAAAATTTTTTATTTTATTGTGATTTTTAACAAACGTTTACAGAAAAGTTATATTTTAATTCTTTCATTGTTGCACGTTTTACCACTCTCCTGCCCCTCCCCTCCCCTTTCCAAGTTGACTTTTTAAATACTAGTTTATTTACAAAATTAATATATATTGTTTTTGAGAACATATTCTTCCAATTTCCCACCCCTCTGCCATCAGATTGTACAACTCCATGATTAACCCCCTCCCCTGAACGAAAGTTTACAAAAAACTTGGATTTCCCTAGGCCTTCTAAGCTTGTTCCTACTTTGTCTCTTATGATTTTTATGATTTGGGGACTTTCCCCCTACGACTTTAATCCACCTTGAGTTATTTTTGAAACACCAGCTTATTCCACACCTGCCTGTACACAGTTGAACACTATTAGGGAAAAATCCTGTCCCTCATTGATTGGTTTTGCTCCACTTTGTCTGCCATGAATCCGAAGTGGATGTTCAATGATGTGAGAAGTCCTCCTCCACTCTCCTGGATGGTTTGTTCTCTCTTTGTCCTGCGATGACATGACACTTTTGCTCTCGTATTCCACTCCCAGTTTTCATCCCTACTTGGTGACCATGCCTCTTGTTTCACTGAGAAAAGGAAAACTACCTCTTGTACCTTTTTGATACATCCCACTTATATCCTGCCTGCAAATCCTCATTGTCCTCATATTTTAGTAAATGAGTCATACCTGTTTCCACCTATGGCCAGTCCCTCTACCTGTGCACTGCGTTTTATCCCCTCTCCTTTCTCAGTGACCTTTTTCCTCCCTGGGACCCTCTCCTCTCCCTCCGCTCTTCTCCTCCTTCTCCTCTCTCGCCCACTGTCCTACTTCCCTCATCATCTCTCCCTCCTCGCCTTTCTTCTCACTAATTTCTGGATTCTGTGAATCAGCATAAAAGCAGACCATATTGTTATTTATCATAAAAAATGATTCCTTACATTTCTGATCCCTTTCCATCCACTGTCACATTTCTCTGCTCCTTTTCACAGCTCCTCAGCCATGTTGACTACACTTATATTCATTCCCTCCCCTCTCAGGCTCCCCTTAGCACACTTCAATCAAGTCGAACAAAGAAGCACTTAACTATGTCAGTCACCAAGGCCATGTCCTCAGCTTCTTTTACTTGGCCCCCTGCTGCTGCATTTGCCATGATTAAATATTCTTTGGAAGCAGGAATGGCATGCACTTCCTAAACAACATGTCTCTGGAAACTGTATGAACTTTGAGAAATGACAATAGTCATAGAAAGGCTTCAGGTATTTTGTTCATAGGGTCACTATGAGTCATGCTCAACTTGACAGCAATAATTCTGGCTGTATTTGTCAGCTGTATTTGTCATTTTGTTTATATTTGTCCATTCATTCATCCCTTCATTAATTCATCTAAAAATGTGTATTGAAGCGAAAAAAAAAATGTGTATTGATTTATACAGTAAATGATACAAAATGAGTACAGTGATTCTTGTTTTATTCACTATCATATACACAATACCAAAGACAGTGTAGGGAGTAGAGCAGGTACTCAATAGTAAGTCTTAGTTGGTCATATGTAAATAAAAGCCATTGGGGAAAATAGAGGATAGAAGGCTAGAGCCCTCAAGGGCCTGACTTCAGGATGGTGATTTGGTAGACCTCATGAGGAGACAGCATTCACTATGACATGTACAAGATGTAAGATCTACACTTAGAACTCTCTCTAGGCCTGATAATGTTTTGCATTAGGCATCTATTAAATCCTCCTAATAATCTCAGTGAAAGCAAGGCCTGTTATTATAGACTCTGTGTGTGTATTATAAATGAGGAAACTGAAGCCCAGAGTGATGAAGGCAATTGCCCAAGATCCTGTTCCATATAAATAAGCCAAGGTATAGACACACAGTCAGCTTCTATAGTTTGCACTCCTTTTTTAATAATTTTTAAAAATTTTAATTGTGATTTTCATGAAAACTTACAGAAAAGATAGACTTTCATTCATTCATTATTGCACTTTTTGCCCCTTCCCCTTCTTCTCTCCCCCCCGCCCCGCATTGGTTCATTGTTGCAGAATTACCTCCCTCCCAGCAGCCCAGTCCTCTTTGCAATGTACCTTTTATTCTCAGCTGTTGTCATAGGAATAATGCCTAATCATATATTCCTTTTAAACAGTTCTTTCCTTCATCTGTTCCAACGCCCTCTTGACAATCACATGATGATGCTTCTCCATTTGATATTTGTCTTCCCCATGTTCTCATGGCCTTGTTTTCATTTTCTTCACCCTCAATTTGAACTTGCACATGAGTAATTGGTGATCTGTTCCACAATCAACCCTGGCCTAGTTTTTATTGCTCATATTGAACTTCTCCAGCAATTTCTTCCACAGATTTAGTCAGTCTGATTCCTATGCAGCCCATCAGGTGAGGCCTATGTGTAAAGTCATAGTTTGTGCTTTTTAAAAAATGAATAAATCACTGGAAATACAAAATTTGATCATTCTGTGTCCAGCCTCATTTCTGTCACAAAGCATATTTTCCAACTATCATTCTTTCTTCATTGTTCCCAACTTTTGTACTCCAGTTGACAATTATCCTTAATTAATTATCACAACGTACTTCAGGATAGAACTGGACATTTACTTTATTACTATGAATGCAATGCCATTCCTCTTCTGTTTTTCATTCCCAATGTAGTATACCATGTGATTATCTGATTCAAAGTTGCCAAAGCTAGTCTGTCTCATCTCATTGATGCCTAGAATATCAATGTTTATGCATCATATTTCACATTTTTCACAAGTTCTAGTTTTACAACACTCATGCTTCATATGTTGCATGTTCCTCTTATTAAAGAATCTTTGTCACTATTTTCCTCATTTTGAT